AGCACGAGGGGACAGCTTGTCCGCAGACAAGTCGCGGACAAACGCCCGAGATCCCCAGACACGGAACGCAGACGCATCGCCAACCTTCCCCGTCCACAGCAAAGCCGGGGAGGTCTCCGGCATGGAGACCCTGGGGTGAAGGTTGATCTGATGCGCCGCGTACCGAACCGCAAACGGCCACAGAAAATGGGGGGCAGCCGCATGCATCATGGACGTACGGGCGACGTCCATGACCATGCCAATGCGGCGCTCAGCAATCCCATTTTGCTGTGGAGAGTCCGGAAGCGTGAAGGTCTGGCGGATGCCTCGTGCACGACAGTAGGCTCGCAGAAGGCCAGAGGAGAACTCTCCACCTCTGTCAGAGTGCAGACGCAGAACAGGAAAGTCCGAGCCGAAGCTCTGCCTGAGCTGGAGACAAACTGCGCGGATCCAGTCGATCAGCACCTCAGTGACATCACCCTTGCTGCGCAAGGGGAAGACTGTGGTGTAACGCGAGTAGTCGTCAACCACCAGCAGGAAGTAGCGCTCGTGACCCTGTGCACGGACGCGGGCCGGGCCCCACACGTCCATGTGAAGCGTCTGCAGCGGGGCCTCTGTCGGAGGAAACTGGGAGGAGTGAGGGGCAGCCCGCTGCCGCCCCTCGACACAGGGGACGCAGGTAGGGCCAGGCCCCGGAGGAAGGGGAGGGAGGGATCGGGGAAGACCAGAGACAAGGACACGGGAGGCCATGCCTCGGAGACGAAGCAGGGAGGGGTGACCAAGGCGGTGGTGCCAGAGGAGAGTCTCGTGAGACAGAAGGCAACACGAACAGGGGGCAGACTCAGGACCAGACCTGGACGCTGCAGCAAACACCTGACCCGACGCAGCGACCTGACCAGACGCAGTGACTGGAGGAGACGCAGTGGTCAGTGTGTACAGGCTCGACCCCGGCCGACGTGTAAACGTGGCCAGGTGTCGGCCTGTCCGAGCGTCCGTGCAGTGGGTCACCCGCTGACTGGCAGGAGTGAACTGGTGAACCCCCGCATCCTGTAGGTCAGCACCACTCACCAAGTTCGTAGAGAACGAGGGAAGGTAAAGACCAGACAGGGTGCCAGAGGGGGCCGCCGGACACGGGAGGACAGTGGAGAAGTGAGCAAGGACAGGACCCCCAGAGGGGTCTGCCAGAGAGACTGCAACTGGCCGGCCAAGCGGCGTGAGTGTGGTGCGGTCTCGAAAGAAGGAGCGAGAAGCACCCGAGTCAAGGGTGAAGGTGTGGGAGGCCGAAGCCGACGCAGTACCTGAGAGAGCAGACTCACCAACACCTGAGGGAGCAGATGCACGAGCACCTAGAGCAGCAGCCTCGCTAGCACCTAGAGCAGCAGCCTCACCAGTACCTAGAGCAGCAGTCTCAATGCCCGGGTCGGGCGGAAAACACCGGTAACAGTCACCCTCATCACTAATAGTCACAGCATACATGGCAGCAAGAATAGCATCAAAGTCAAGGTCAAAGACAGCTACACCCGCCCTAGACAGCTCGCCCCAGCGAGGGATCTCAGTGGCCTCAGGGAACTGGTGACACCAAGCGTCCGTCAGGCGGCCAAAGCAGCGCTGGGTGGAGTGCGCACCCCCGCACTGCTCACCCGCGCGGTCGCCGGTGCGTAGGACGTAGGTGCACGGACCAGTACCCCCACCCCGCTGGCGTGCAGCGTACCACTCACGGAGCTGCTGAGGGGGGGGGATGTCACGAGTGCGCTGCTGCCGCTGCTGCTGCTGCTGCTGGCGCTGACCACCACCGGAGCCGACCCTCTGTGCAGCGGCACCCCGACCAGCTCCACCTCCTCCGCCGCCGCCTCCTCCACCGCCGCCACCTCCGCCACCTCCGCTCCCACCGCCACCGCCGCCGCCGCCTCCGCCTCCACTGCCGCCACCGACACCTCCACCCCCGCCACCACTCCCACCACCACCCCCACCCCCTCCACTGCCGCCACCGCCACCTCCACCACCCCCGCCAGCCCCTCCAGCACCCTTGCCCCCCTTGCCCTTGCCGGTGCGGCGTCTCCCGCTCGGGGCAGACGCAGCGCCGACCGACTCGAAACCAACGAGGTCGGCCGCAGCAGCAGAGGCAACAGAGGGCAAAAGGGGGGAGGGGGAACACCCCTCAAAGACGGGGGTGCGAGGGTCACCACGAGAGGCTCCTACAGCGACTATGCTCTTCTCTGCTGCTAGGAGGGCCTTCTCGAGGAGGTCAACGGTGAGAGTGGTGGGGCAAACTGAGAGGAAGTGGTCCCTGACTACGCGAAGGGAGTCAGGGAGCCGGGTGACTATGTAGTAGAGGGTGATGTACATGGGGGGGGGGTTCTTGGCGCAGAACTCAGCAGGAAGCGCAGCGCGGTAGCGAGTGTCACTAGTGCGGAGGTGCGTAATGAGGTCAGCGACTGTGGGAAAGGCAGCAAGGTCAGGGAAGAGGTACGGTAGCATGAGGCGGCTATGTGCAGCAGTGGCAGGGGAGGAGTAGCGCGCAACTACAGCGTCGTACAAGGTGTGAGCACTCTTGTACTGGCTAAAGTGCGCACGCTCAGAGGTAGGCAAGTGGCGACGCACAGCAAGACGTGCAGCAGCATCGCGTGTGGCCCACTGTGAGCGAACAGTGGCGTCAGCATCAGCAGCGGGGGCAGGGGAGGCACCAGAAGTGAGATCAAAGAGGGAGAGACCGTCTGCCCTATCGCACTGTAGGAAAAGCTGCAGGTCATCTACCCAGACGTCAAAGTCAATGGCCCGACCCTCAGCGTCAAAAGCGAGGACACTGGGGGTAGCCATGACAGCAGTAGACTAGCAGCACGAGCAGTAGGCTAAGGGCAGCGCAGTAGTAGAGGTGCTGCTCTTACCGGGCAGGCGAGACGGACCGAGTGTAGAGGACAGGGCGGCTCGGACGGCTCGGCGGCTCGGCAGCACCAGCAGGTCGGCAGCTCAGCGACTCGGCGGCTCGGGTGGCTCGGGCGGCTCGGGCGGCACGGGCGGCTCGGCTGCTGCAGGGGCAGCGGCGGCTGTTGCTCACAGGACGGCGGCGGCCGCTGCTGCAGCGGCGGCGGCAGTTGCTGTTGCAGGGCCGGCGGCGGCCGCTCCTGTAGGGACGGCGGCGGCCGCGGTTGCAGTGGCGGCGGGTGCTGCTGCAGGGGCGGCGGATGCTGCTGCTGCTGGGACTGCGGCCGCGGTCGCTGTAGCGACTGCAGCTGCTGCTGCTGTAGAGGCGGCGACGGCGGGCCGAGAGAGGCCGCGAAGGGCGGCGGACGGGCCGTGAAGGGCGGCACGAGGGGCCGCAGAGGGCGGCGACCAGCCGTGAAGGGGCCGGGAGTGGCCGCGAGGGGCCGCGGAGGGCGGCGACCGGCCGTGAAGGGGCCGCGAGTGGCCGCGGAGGGCGGCGAACGGCCGTGAAGGGGCCGCGAGTGGCCGCGGAGGGCGGCGACGGGCCGTGAAGGGCGACGCGAGGGGCCGCGAAGGGCGGCTACGGGCCGTAGGGGGGCCGTAAGGGCGGCGCGAGGGGCCGGAAGGGCGGCGCGAGGGGCCGTAATGGCGGCACGAGGGGCCGTCAGAGAGGCCGCTAAGGGCGACGCGAAGGGGCCGTAAGGGGCCTAGAGAGGGCGCGACGGTAGGGAGGGCACGCGGGGCGCGACTCGGGCAGGAGCGAAGCGCGCTCCGGGCAGGAAAAAAAAAATTCGATTGGTGGGCCCTAGGAAGCGTTCCCACAAGGGAACCCGCTCTATACTATGTGAAATAACGAGGAATAGATTGACTAAGGGAAAGTTGGGTACAAAAGCAAACCCTAGAAAACTGTACCCCATATGTGCTACCCCACTATAGCCTACAGTAGCTATGTCATATAAATCTGACATAACCAATCCTGGTTTTGTGATGAGATCCCTAGGAAAGCACGATGGATTAATGACAAGAAACCAGGTAATGAAGCCTTGAAGTTACATGGCTGAAGGAACCTGAACAGCAGATCCCGAGAATAGGTTGATACGATGTCCGCTTGATGGACAATAAAAGTGTACCAATCGATTCGTCGTGATAAAGCTGTGGTCCTTAAAGCCAACTGGCAAGCCTGCTTCACGAAATGCTGGATTAAAGACCCTGAAGAAATCCATGGAGGCGAGCTCGAGGTTCATTGTCGTCTGATAGGTGAGGTAAAAGGTTCGTGGTTCGTGGTAATGATATTAAACATTTCGAGCATTCGTCATGGCTAAAGTGAGTACATGTATGCCTAAAGTGAGTACATATATGCAGATGCTTCGTGGTATGTTTTCGTGAATAACATTATGCTGTGTTCGCGAGTAGAGCAAAGTTACGTAGGTGATTTCGTACTTGCTAAGTGTTGCTGACCTGTCGGGTTTTGAGCCACGGAGATGCAAGAGTCGCTGAAGCATGCTCAAGCTCGGGACCACGTGGGATTCTGACGAAGAGAACAGCGTCGTAACAAGCCCCACGGCTCTAACGAAATTCCGGCGACTGGTTTTGGTCGCACCTTCAGATCCTTTATTCCCGTACGTGAAATTTCTCCACATTCTAATAGGAATCTTAAGGAATCGCCTCCGTTGTGTGTCAGAATCACCAGCACCGTTTTCAGACATCGGAAGCATCTGTACCACTTCCAAATATTTTCCAACCGCAGTATACCCCTTTCTTCCATCTGTCCATGGTTTTACGTCTGCCATTAGAAGATGCTACTCTCGCAGATGCTGTTCTGGTCAGGCAACGAGCATCAAGAGAGGCGATAGAGTGCATGCAATTCGACAGCAATCAAACCCGATATTACCAGCAAGAGGCTGGGCAAAGAGCCTTTTACAAGTCCGAGAAACAAATCTCGCTCTAGATTCTCGCTGAAGTGTCACTCTCGACCAAACCACGTGATTGAACAAACCAAACCAAGTCTTAGACGCAACCAGCCGATCCGGCGAGACCGGTCTTAGATCCGAGTGTTGGCCAGTCCCGTGTGTTCTGAGACCGTCACGTGACGCGTCGAGATGGTGCTGTGGGAGCTGACGCTGGCGACGGCGTATTTCCTCGGGCTCAAGCGCACGTACCGCCTGGCGCTCAAAATGCAGAAGAGGGTCCTTCTCTCGCGACCCGGGATTCGCGACTTCGCGAAAAGGTGAGTTCTGCTCTGCGTTGTTACCGATCTTATATCGCCGATCCGGTTTGGCAGATCCCATGATCCTGCCGATTCTCCTCGCGCCGATCTCTCAGCTTGGATCTCTCCGACGGATTGCGCCTGACTGATTCCACCTGACCAATCCTGCCGATCCGATCCTGCGAATTTGGTATGGTAACGAACAGTAGGATCTATCCGGCCGATTGCGCCTGACCGATCCTGCGTTTCCTAAACGAACCGTCGACTTTTATCGGCCGAACCTTACCTGGCTGGGACTTAGTTCCTGGTGTCATGGCAGGCGGATCCCACATGGCGAATCCTGGTCTGGCCTTCCCCTTTTTAGTCACACGTCTGACCCTTGTTATCCGTTCTTTTCTTTCGCTTGAAAGAATCCCATCATGAGGGTGGGTTGGTTTTAAATCAATGCAGCTTTGGAACATTGACATCCGTCGCTCTGTTTTGCAAATCCCTACTTCGCTTCCTTCGTCACTAAGGTTATTCGCTCTCACACTCGCACTCATTCACGGCTCCCTCGCTCCCTTTGCTCGCTCTTCCTCTTCCTTCAAGGCGTGCCTGCCAGGACAGTGTTCCGAGCGGCGCTGACAGCTGTGGAGACCAATCGAGATTGGTCGCTTGTCAGCAGCTTGCAACTTGGTGGCCCTACCTCACACCTCCGTTTCTCTCCCCTTTCCCGCTATGCCCTCCCACAGGCGCACGCGAGCAGTGTTCGGAGTGGCGCTGACAGCCGTCGAGACGGTCCTTCCCGTCAGGGACATCGAGATTGGTCGCACTGTCAGCAGCTAGCAACTTGGTGGGCTTACCTCACACCTCCCTTTCTCTCCCCCGCCCTCCTGTGACTTCCCCCACAGGCGCACACAAGCGGTTTTCAGAGTGGCACTAACAGCCGTCGGAACCATTCAGCACAGGGACATTGAGATTGGTCGCTTGTCAGCAGCCAGCTACTTGGTGCGCTTACCTCACACCATTTCTTTCCCCTCGTTCCCCCTGTGCCCTCCCCCACAGGCGCACACGGGCAGTGTTCGGAGTGGCGCTGACAGCCGTTGAGACGATTCAACACAGGGAGGCCGACAATGGGCTCTCTGCAAACCTTTCTCCCTCTCCCGCCCTGTGCCCTCCCCCACGGGCGCACACGGGCGGTGTTCGGAGTGGCGCTGACGGCCGTTGAGACGATTCAACACAGGGAGGCCGACAATGGGCTCTCTGCAAACCTTTCTCCCTCTCCCGCCCTGTGCCCTCCCCCACAGGCGCACACGGGCGGTGTTCGGAGTGGCGCTGACGGCCGTTGAGACGATTCAACACAGAGAGGCCGACAATGGGCTCTCTGCAAACCTTTCTCCCTCTCCCGCCCTGTGCCCTCCCCCACGGGCGCACACGGGCGGTGTTCGGAGTGGCGCTGACGGCCGTCGAGACGATCCAGCTCAGGGACATCGAGATTGGTCGCTCCGTGTCAGCAGCTAGCAACTTGGTCGCCTTACCTCACACCTCCCGTTCTCTCCCCTTTCCCCCTGTGCCCTCCCCCACAGGCGCACACGAGCGGTGTTCGGAGTGGCGCTGACGGCCGTTGAAACCATCCAGCATAGGGACATCGAGATTGGTCGCTCTGTGGGAAACTTCCTCCTCCGCTTCCTCGACCGCATGAAGCCCTCGGCGCACATTCGAGGGGATGGACCCATGCCAGGAGGGGCAGGAGGAGGGGGGGTTCATTCAAGCCATGCCCCACCCACGCCGGGAGGAGCAGCAGGAGGGGGGCATCAAAACCATGCAGCCATTCCGGGAGGTACAGCACGGGACAGTGGGGTGGTAGCAGGGCACAGCGTTGGAGGGTCTGGGTCACATGCAAGTGGTGCAGCAGCAGCAGGGCAGCACACCAGCAGCAGCAGTGGCACCAGCAGCAGAAGTTTTAGCACCATGATTGGCCTAGGCGGAAGCAGCAGCAGAAGCAGCTCCAGCCCTGTTAGCAGTTGCTTGGGGAACCGGGGGCACTTTCACACTCACACATTCACCTTCAGTTCGAACAGGAAACTTCCCTTCTCACAAAACCTGCCATTCTTAGCACACCTGCAGGCCCTCACGACCATCCCAGGCCACACGTTGCAAAGCAGAGCACTTCAGATTCATGGAGCCCCTTCACTCGTGCTACCAGCTGCCCTGCAAGCCCGAGACAGCCTGCCCGCCATGCCCCGATATCTACAGTCTCCTTTATTACAGAAGGCATTGTTTCCTTCACAGTCCGCCCCCACATCCTCCACGTATCTAGCGTATCATGGCGCTGCTGGTGTCGCCCCTGCTGCGTTCTCCTGCTTGCCAAGAATAGTCCAACCGCTGCTGGCATGTCCGCCCAGATGACCAGCGTGAGCCGCTGCAAACAGCAGCTCAAGCATCGGTTTTTGAGTTGTGAAGTGAAGATCAGTCCAACCACCGCGGGCATGTCCGCCCAGTTGATTCGCATGGTTGGCGACATTGCTTGCAAGCACAGCATCTCAAGTGTTACCGGTCTAGTGAGGATGGTGAAGTTTTGCTTGCCCATGATAGCCTGATTTTTACTGGCTCCTCTTCTGACAATGTAGGCAGTTAATTGCAGGAAAATCAGAAGTATTCCACCGGTAATTGTTAGGATTCTCCTAGACTCGGGGTTCTTTTTCGTCCCCCCCCACCAGAAGGAGGAGTAGGCTAATTTTAAAGTACCATATATTTCTGTTAACGTATAAAATGTATGTAGCAATAGCCATTGTCATCCGTTGTAGTCTAGTCGGTTAGGATACTCGGCTCTCACCCGAGAGACCCGGGTTCAAGTCCCGGCAACGGAACACTTTTTCGCCGAGGTTGAGAGGCGAGGCTAGTGTTCGGTAGTTTGCCTCCCGCACACCCAACTCAAGTGTGATGTGAAGCCTCCCACCTTGGCTCAATTCTGTAGTTGCCTCTCACATTATGCACAACCACCTTCCACTTAGAAAATTGCTAACCAGAGGGTTCTTGTAAGGATTTACAAATCCTTACTGAGGCACTCGTTAGCGAGGCCATCCCGAGGGTCACGCGACGAACCTGTTCGGCCTATTTCGTCGGCCGAACCACTCCCGAGTCGGCCTCCGCCCCAATCGCAACCATCACCGAGCCATCCTTTCCCGACCTCCCCGCCTAGCTAGCTTTTTCCCTATTTAGGCCTCGTCTCTTTCATTGTATGGGGATTCAGGATTCAACCATTCTCGTTATTCGTTATTCTGCGCACTCTCTTTTACAACTCATAACAGTTATTGTGAGCAAAATTCTGGTGAACCACGGAAAACCAGAGGTTTGACCAGATCACGGAATGTGCCCTGGTCCGGGGGATTACGTACAATGTTTTCGTGTGATGGGAAGTGTAGAACACTTAACATGGGCGTATCTTTGGTCCGGGTCATGCACTGTTTGGGTCATCCAAGATTCTTGGAAGACCAATCAGGCACATTTCAGAAACACTACTCGAATACCATTGGTCCTCTCATGACCCAAAGTGTACAATGATCTCAAAGTAGGAATGCAACGGAATGAATGAACTAGCAAAGTGTTGGATAGAAATAGGAAACCCTAACATTTGTATCCTCTATAATGCATCTCACTACAGCCTATAACTATGATAGTTGACACACCCCATAGGCTAAGTGAGGGGCATCAAAACAAGCAAGGCAGACAAACGGTCACAAGACCAGTCAAGACAAGAAACAAAGCAAGCTCAGGGTGGATCTCAAGGACACCACACAAATTCCGAGCACACGCAAGCGGCCACAAGGCCAGTTCAAGAGTTCACTAGGATATATATAGGAAAGCACAACAAGCAGAGCAAGCAACAAGACTACAGCAACCGTGGGCCTACCTCAACAAGCCCCAACTGCACACAGAACCTGTGGTGGTCACCAAGCGCCAGGGCCTTGGTGAAGACGTCTATAGTGTTGGCCTCTGAGTCCACAAAGTCCAGGCGTGCCTGGCCGCGTCGCTGCAACTCTCGCAGGAGGAAGTACCTCACGTCAATATGTTTCACTCTGCTCTCCAGTCGAGGCTCTCGACAGAGGAGGATCATGGCCTTGTTGTCAGCGTACAAGGTCGGTGCAGAGCGAGGCCTCTCACCAAGGTCGGCGAGCAAGAAGGTCAACCAGCGAAGCTCCTGTGCCGCCATGGCACCAGCGTAGATCTCTGCCTCTGCACTGGAAGTAGCCACAGACGACGACCGTGTAGACCTCCACGACACAGCACCAGCTCCCAGACTGAAGCAGCAACCCTGAGTCGAGCGCTGAATCTCCACGTCGTCAGTGTAGGAAGGACCAGTCAACGCCACTGGCTGAGTCCCTCGAAGCACAAGCCCCATGCCTGATGTAGTCGCCAGGTACTTCGCCACCCTCACAGCAGCTGTCCAGTGGACAGGACGGTGTCTCCCAGTCGCAACAAAGCGAGAAACGATGCTGAGGGGAAAGGCGAGGTCCGGCCGAGTACAAGTCATCAGGTACATGAGGCAGCCCACAAGCTCTGCGTAGGGGCCACTAGACTCAAAGGGTTCGTCGGGAAAAGGGCCGGTGAGTCGGTGGTCAACGGCAAGAGGAGTGGGCAGTGTGGTGGAGAACTGAAACCCGAACCGCTCAAGGACCTGCTGCACCATGTGTGACTGAGTCAGTGTGATGGTGCGAGCGGCTCTGTCCCTGGTGATCTGCAGGCCAAGGTAGCGCTGCAGTTCACCTAGGTCAGTGCACTTGTGTCTCTTCTGCAGTTCGGACTTCACCTGAGCCAGAGCTTCCCTGTCTGCTGTGACAAAGACCAAGTCGTCGACGTACACTAGTATAAAGAAAGGAGTGGAACCAGTGCGAACAAACAGCGACGGGTCGGCAGAGGAAGGACGAAACCCAAGGTCACGAAGCGTGGAGCGAAGAGTGTCGTGCCACTCACGGGGCGACTGGCGGAGACCGTAGACTGGCCGTCTCAGGCTCCACTGGGTCCCAGGTGGGAAGGTGTCAGTGAAGCCAGGAGGGCGGCGCAGCCAGATCTCCTCGTGTAGTCGGCCCTGGAGAAACGCGGTAGAGAAGTCAAGGGAGTGCAGCTCGTAGTCTCGCTGTGCTGCTACGTGCAGTAACACCCGAAGAGTAGTCATCTTCGGGGTCGGGGCGAAGGTCTGGAAGAAGTCAACTCCCTCACGCTGACTGAAACCCCTAGCCACGTAGCGCGCCTTGAACACGTGCGGTGAACCAGGCGGCCGCTTCACCTTGAAGAGCCACATGCCATCGACTACGTTCGCCCTGGGAGGGGGAACTGCGTCGATGTAGGTGCCTGTGGATCTCCAAGACGCTAACTCCGAGGCCATAGCCGCTTTCCACTGTGAGGCCCACGCCCCTGACACTGCCTCGCGGTAAGTACGAGGAGTCGGTATGTCAAGGGCGTCGGGGTCTCCCTCAGGGGATAGCAGCATGGCACAGACAGAGGGAGAAGCGGCTGCCCAGTTCTCCAGCTCAGACTCTCTGTCCTCTAGGACATCACAGCCAAGGGCAGACTCACCCTCGACGGACAGAGGACGGGAGGGAGGAGCTGGCACCACACGGGTGGTGTAGTCAAGGCGACTGGCAGCAGCAAACTCAGCGACAGCGGCAGTGAGAGCCGAGACAGACGACGGAGGGAAACGAGAGTCGGTGACAAGAGTGGCGAGGACACGAGAGACAACAGGACGAACATCACGGTAGTAGTCAGTGACAGGAGTAGGGGGGAAAGGGAGAGAGGACGGAGGAGGAGACGGGAGAACGGACTCATGAGGAGGACGACGAGGAGACGAACAAAGGAGGGCAGTGCGGAGGTCGGTAACAGGAGACGAGTGACGAGCATGCGGAGGACAGGGACGGACACGAGAGTGTGGGACAACAGGTGGAGGAGACTGCGGTGGAGGAGAAGACCAGACCGCCGGAATGTCGTCAGGAGGAGGAAACGTGGGACCAAACGCTGGAGGGGACGGAGTGTGAACAGGAGGAGAGGAGGGAAGACCAAGGGCCCGAAGGCCACTCACGGGTGGGAAGAACAGCCGCTCCAGAGGGAGCTGCGGTGGGCGCGGCTGCGGCGGCGGTGTCTGCTGCTGCGGCGGTTGTTGTTGTTGCTGCTGCTGCTCCAGCAGGTCCAACTGCCGCAACTCCTGCCGCTCCCTCTCCAACAGCACCTACTCCTCACGCGCACGCCGACGGGCCACCTGGAGACGCGTGTCGTGGCGGTGGGGAGGCGGAGTGGACTCCGTAGAACCAGTGTCTCCAGCTCCATTCTCCTCAGAACCAGCACCTCCAGTGCCAGCGCCTCCAGCACCAGCACCCCCAGAACCAGCAACTCCAGTACCAGCACCCCCAGAACCAGCACCTCCTGAGCCAGCACCTCTAGCTCCAGCACCCCCAGAACTAGCACCTCCAGTGCCAGGACCTCCAACTCCAGCACCCCCAGAACTAGCACCTCTAGTGCCGGCACCTCCAGCTCCAGCACCCCCAGAGCTAGCGCCACCTGCGCCAGCACCTCCAGCTCCAGCACCCCTCGAACTAGCACCGCCAGCGGCTGCACCTCCAGCTCCAACACCAACCGAGTCCACATTAACCTGTCGCGGAAGTGCCGAAGGCTGCTGAGGGGACTGTGAGGAGGACTGCGGGGAGGGAGACGCTACGTGACGCGCGGCCGAGGGTAGAGGGGTAGCGTGGGACACACCAGACGGGGCAGGACCAGGGGGGGGCGGGGGTACCGGAGGAGCGGGAGCAAGAGGAGGAGAGGGTGCGAGGAAAAGGGGGGGGTGGGGGTACCGGGAGACCTCGACAGGGGTACCGGATGTAGAAGGACACGGACTCGTCTAATCGGACGTCACGGGAGTCTAGGAACTGGTGGAGGGGAGGGTGGTAAAAGGACCAGTCGGCAGAGTCCACCGGGAAACCAAGGAAGACACAGGGGACGGCGCGTGCCGAGAGCTTGTCCGCGGAGGTGTCGCGAACAAGCGCAAGGCAGCCCCAGACACGAAAGGCCGACCCAACACCAGGGGACCCGGTCCAAAGACTGGTCGGTGAAGCCTCAGGCCGCGAGACGCGCGGCTGGAGGTTCAGCTGGTCTGCGGCGTAGCGAACCGCGTAGGGCCACAGAAAAGGGGGCGCACGGGCATGGATCATGGACGTACGAGCAATGTCCATTACCAAGCCAATGCGGCGCTCAGCAACCCCATTCTGCTGTGGGGACTCCGGAAGCGTCCAGGACTGTACGATGCCCTGTTCGCCGCAAAATCCGCCAAGAATGCCGGAGCGAAACTCGCCCCCACGGTCGGAGTGTAGACAACTGACACGACGACCACGAGTGCCCTCAGTGGCCGGGAAGCCACCGGA